CAGGGACAGCAATGCACTAAGCCCTGAATCCCTTCAGCCAGGCTCCAAACTCTAAACTCTAAATCCCAAACCCTGAAGCATTAGCTCTGCACACTCCGCCCAAAGTCCCTCAACCGAGCCATCTAACGACAGGTTCTGCAAGTACCCTGAAGAATAAGGGTAGCAGCTAGAACCGAATAAAGGAACCATAAACCCCCTATACACCCTTGTAAGACCCACTGAAACAAACACCACCGTAAAACCATGAACGCAATCGTTGGCATTAAGGGGTCTTTTCGGTTTGGTTGTGTCAGGCGGTTGAAAATTCCTTGTACCATAGAGCTTCTTAAGGGCCAGTATATGTGCTTGTTCTTAGGATTTTGTATGGGTGTTGCTTTATGATTTATGAGGGCTTTATACAGGTTGACCACAGGCCCTAAACCCTCACACCTCAAATCCTCCAATCCTGCACCTTCACATGCTCAAACCGTATGCCTTGCCTTGCATCCCAAACAAAGGAAGACCCAGGCTTTCCGGGAGCACTGCTTGGGGCGTTCCTCTTCCGAGGAGGACGAGAGATCCATCTGAAGCACATTGATCAGGGGTTTAGGGTTTAGGGTTTAGGGCAGGAGTTCTGTTTCGGTTTGTTGTGCGTATCAGGGGCTGCTGAGGAACGCTGGTGTCTACCTGGAGTGTTTCTCTAGAGCTGCAGGTGCTAAAACACCCCCCCCCCCCCCCCCCCCCCCCCCGGACACGTGAAACTCAAAACTCAAAGGGCTTGATGCAAAGGTCGGCGGTTTTGGGGGATAGGGCTTTGGAGCTTCTGCGAAATGCTTAGGCGTTCGTGGCTTGCAGGCTTTGTGGCCCTGCGCTTTTAGGCTGAAGGTTCGGGGGCAAGACGATGACCATACAGAACCCCTAAACCCTAAGCCCAAAGATTTCATCGGTCCGAAATGAAACGCCCTCCCCAGCGTGGCTTAAGCTGTGTTCGGACATGTACATATATTTGGTTTGTATACCTCTCTCTCTCTATATATATATATACACATACACCTAGCAGAAGGTGAATGTTTTCATCTCGATAGACAGGGTACGTCTTGGGGATTCGGGATGGGGGGGGGGGGGCTACTGCAAGAACTAGGCATGGAGCTTGCTTGTGGTGTTTGAGGATTTGCTAAACGGGCTAAAATAGAATAGAACAGGCTTTCCGGGCATACTATACACTGGTAAAAATAGGGACACTATCCGGATGCATTGCTCTCAAGACTAATGTTGTCAAAAATCATCACGATATTTCGGGCGCCCTAAACCCTTATGGAACCCTAAGCCCGACTCCCCGGTTCGATGTTGGAGGTCTATCGCTCAGGCTTCGATCTGATCCTAAAGACCACCGGCAGAAGTAGTACCACAAAACAGCTACACTTAGTGGCCTTAGGGTTTAGGGGTTTAGGGCTTTAAAGCTAAACCCAGCCTACGATGGCTTCACAACTCTAAGCCCATCACCCCGGGCAAGTATTGAATTCACTTGAACTCAAACTGAAGTCGCTCTGGAATCCCTGAAGCTAAGTCCCTTAGCCCGAGACTCAACAACTAACCTAGCACGACGATCAATCACGAGAGAGCTGATGAAGAAGATCGTGCTGAAGTTCATTCGCGACACTCCAGCGGTCATGGCATCATCCGTTATGAGTTCTAAGAGGCCATCGCATGGACAACTCCCCAAGACCGAAAACCCCTGGCAACCCTCAACTCACAAGCCTTCCAACCCGCAAGTCCTGGCTTTAGGGTTCAGGCGTTCACGGGCTTAGGGACTTAAGGGCTTAGGGGCTGGGGTTTAGGGTTTAGGGGTTCCGGGTGCGAAGCTTTGGAAGGCCTGTCTGGAATCTTCCAGGTTATCCTCACTCTCGTAGGGGTTCAGCGTCCTGATGCTGATTCTGGCACGCCCGGAATGCGTGGTTCAAGGGCTGAGGTTTTTGAACACCTGTTTTTCAGATCCTTCATATAAGGACAGTAGGATAACGGATTGGCTGCTAAGTCCCCTGACAACCCACAGCCAGTAAGGGCGTCGGGCAGCCCGAAATCCTTTATCTGAGAAAGTTTTCTGCTCTGATCTGGATGAGGCAGAACCCCCAAACCCTAACCCCTAAACCACAAGACACCCCCGGCATTCCCAATAATGTCTAGACATATTCACTGGTATTTAAGGATAACTACAGATGCTTAGGGGGTTAGAGTTTGAAAGCTGTGCCGCGGGATCGAAGGATTCCAAGATGCATGGTCAGACCGGTCAGACCCCTTTAGCTGAACCCGTATAGGAAGCCCCTAAAGGAAAAGCTTGCATTCAGGAACACTTAGGGCTGTTGCTGATATAAACCCTGCATTACCTCAAGGACCGTAAACTATGGGAAGTATGGCATATTCCTTATTGTGGGTAATGCAGGATTTATATCATCAACCGTAGTGTGGAACCAAAGGATTCAAAAGTTGGGAGGTTTTTTCTCTGGCCTTTACACGAAACCCGGGATTTCTCAACCTTTTATGGCAACTCTTCTACAGTGATCCTTGGGACAAGGATCCTATTGTGTAGTAGGGTCTACATCAGGCCTCAGGGTCCCATCTTTTCTGAAGCTTTCGTGTTTCTCACCGTTTGCAACGACCCAGCGCGCATCTGCAAGCATGTTGAGGGTGCAGTTACCGTCCGATTTCAATCGGTCTCGCGGTACCAATGCTTTTGTCCAGAGACCGCAATATGCGGAACACATATCCGTTGTAGCTTCGCATAGCGGGCAAGCCGTGCAGCAAGCTGTACTGGGACATCGCCCTGAGGACGTCCTCGGCCACGGCGTTGACATTGGAGAGAAAGCCTTGCTTGCAGAGGAGCTGCCGAATCGAGCTATCGCTGGGTGCAACTCGCCAGCGTGCATCGGTCAAATTCGACCTCAGGGCAGAGCGTAGTTTGTCAATGACGTCTGCAACCGTGTCTCCTTCAGACGGCAATAAATCCAGCACTTTCCGGAGCCTGTGGCAATTGTCTGGTGCGTTGACAAAAAGCAAAGCCGCTTCCTCCATGTCGGTGTTCAAACGGCCGTCTAAATACCCCAGCTTTGTGAATGCACGCCGGACCAGATTTTTCGAGTCTTTGAGCATCACTGGGCCACCTCCCGCATACAACCGCCGGCCCAGCGGGGTTCCATAGATTTTTTGCTGCTTCGTTGAGAGTCTCCGTGGCGTAGCAGCTAGCGGAAGCAAGAGTACCAAGTCATCTCGGTACCTCTGCCATCGTCTCCGGCGTGAAACCATGCGACAAACTTTCTCTGTGGCGAGCTGCTGTGGAAATACGGCGATCGATCCCAATGAGTTTGCAAACCAGAACTTTGCCGTGCTCTGCGTCAGCGTTGTGTCGCTTTCAGGCAGGTATCCCAAGTCATGCAAGAAGTTGCTACACAGCTCTCGATCTTCACTGCCACTGCCGTCATATTTAAATGGCTTTGCGAGCTCGACGTGTCCACTTCCATGTGCATTCAGAATCGCTCTGACTGCGCTGAAACTGCTGGTTTGGGATACCAACTCAATGACGCGAACGCCGCACTTTCGAAAACGGCTTATAGCTCCTAGATTTCTTGCCGAGGTGCACAGGCAAACCGATGCCCCTTCTTCTGCAATTTCTTGCAGGACATCCAAGAATCCGCAATCTGATGCCAGTAGCACAATGTACCTGTTCTTCTTGGATGCTGCTAGAATCTTACAAGCTCTGACAATGGCCTCATCATTGGCCTCCCCACGATTCTTGGGATTTCTTTCCACCGGCCGGAACTGCACCTCCTTCCTTTCGAAAAGGGAAGCCCAGGCCTTGGTCAGATTGAAACCAGGGGCTGCAAAAACTCTCGTCCACACTTCATAGCCTTCCTGCTGGAGTTCTTTGATAGCCTCCTGGACCTGTTCAATGTTGACGCTGTCCTGGGTTCTTGTTCGTTAAGAAACCTCAATAACTAAGGTCACCATGGAAAGGAAAGAACAACTATTTCTGCATCCACTTGCTGCCACTAAACTTCCTAAACCCCAACGGAAAAAAACTCCCAAAACCAAAGCTCAGCCTCTGCATCCACCAGCAACTCTGCAGAGGAAGGGGCCCTCGGTAAACTGCAGAGAGCCACTTCGGAACTCGATCTGCGACTTCGCACCTGAGCGGGAGTAGGGTGCCACAAGCGCTCGAGAATAAGGACTTCGTTGAGCAATTGAGAAGCTTCACTCAATCATCAGAAACGGGTTTCTGTTTTTGAAGCAGGGGTATATGACATCATGATGGCATGGGTATGAGTTAGGGACTACAGTTGGATCTTCGATGCATTCCGGCCTGCATGCTCCTGTCGACTTGGAGAATCTAGCATAGTTAGACGGGTTTAGGGCTTACCCATAGGCTCCTTAGTAGCTCGTTTTTGGGATTACCTTATAGGATTCTAAATATAAACCACTAGAAGGGGAACTACTTAGGAGCCTGTGGCGTAGGGCAGAGTTATGCAGCAACCGTGCTCGCGCACTATACGCAAGGTCTCACGTGTAGGCACTACGTTCGCCCAGATCCGGCCGAAGGTCTGGACGAGTCATCCCTGCGTTCCCTGAATCTCGGGTTTACATAGGCTGGTTGAGCCTTTACAGCCTCTGAAAAAACATGAATAAATAGGGTCCTCTTAAGCCCGATAAAGGGAAAATATAAAATACCCCCAAAGGCGTACCTAGTAGGGCTTATGGCTCTGGGTTTCGAGCCTTTGCGTGCTGGAATTCGAGCCGCTGACCTCTGAGCGAAAAAGCCTCGAAGAGGGCCAAACACCTCAGCGACCTCCCAAACTGAAGCTCCTTATCGGCCCCTAATCCCTAAAACCCTCAAGCCGAAGCCCTAAACCCTGAACCCTCAACCCAAAGCCCTAAACCCAAAACCCAAATCCCTTAAACCCGAAGCCCTAAACCCCAAAAGTTTGGCCGGGTTAAGAGACTTCTGGCTGGGGGTTTGTGCAACCACGCGCTCGAAGCCCCGAAGTCCGAACCTCCGGAGTTCTAAACTCCAGCATCCCAGAACTAATATAGGGGCCTTAAATTAGGGTTGAGGGTTTAGGCTCTCAAAACTCTTGGGTTTAGGGTTTAGGGTTTGGGGTTTCGGGTTTAGGGTTGTAAGTCATATGGTTAGAAGTATAAGAAGGAAGCCTAAAATTAGGATTGGTAATGATCTAGGCCCGGAGCCTGAGGCCTTCAGACGCTCGGGGGCTCCCTGCTTCCGGCATTTCTGGCTTCTTGTTAACGGAGCTGACTGTGTGTGTTGCGACAAAAATAGAAACCAACAAACATGATCGCAAGTATTGTGATAGTAAAAGGGACAGTCGTAAGTAGTATTCATCAGAATATCATCGTTATCAGCATGATCTTATATCACACGCACAGCAATATCAATCACAGTAAATGGAGCATCTTGCTTTCTATGCAACCTGCTTAAAAAACTCAACAACAAGAATCAAGACCTCCTAGAATGTCCAAGCCGAGATTCCACTTCCGTAGCAGCTGCTGCTACACTGAGCCAAGCCCCACGAGATCCAAAAGCACCCAATCTCTCGCGGCGCGGCGGGACCGACGCACCACCTCAGGGACAAACTTGATTGTCGGACTTGAGAACGGAGTGTGTGAGGTGTAGGGGTTCATGGGTTAAAGGTGCAAGCTTTAGGGCGTTAAGCTGTAAGGATTTAAAGGAAGACGCCGACTTTTTCTTTCCGTCTCCATGGTGGGCGACGCCATGAAGTTCGTCAGGCCCCTAGATTAGCCTAAACCTCTTCCCAGCCGAGAAGAGCCTGGAATGTGAAACCCAAACATACCCTAAACATCCTCATAAGCAGCCTTACAAAGGTCTTTCCAACCTTCTGACAGCCCTCGTATTGGTGCCCAAACCGCGAACTGTAAGATGAGTCCTCGGCCTGCGATGGAAGGGCAGCTTGATGTTCGACCGGCCACCAGCAATGGATACCCAGGGATGCCCCACATGGCGAGGTCTCTTCGCTTCAAGGCAAATTACCTTTACTAGACTCCATAAGCATGTAGAGGCCACAAGGAAGGAATGTTGCAATACATCAGACTCCCAGACCTGGCAAAACAAGATCCTCCTGGTGGAGTCTATAGCAGGATTTCTGCAGTTCTGCAAGGTCGGGTTTAGGGTTTAGGGCTTCATTTGGAGAGATTTAGGTTTCAGCGTGGCGTAGGGTTGAGGGATTTAGGGTTTGTGGGTAGCGAGCGGGTCAGGGCCGCAAAGCTCTTAGTTGTAGCAGACATGGCTTTGGCTCGATGGCTGCAGGTTCACAGTTCGGACTCGAGTGGTTGAATGAGGCTTTGGGCGGGTGCTCGGGGAACAAGCTCCAAACCAAGTAGCTTTGGGTTTAGGGCAGACCCTCAACCTCCAAAGAGAGCCTGTTTCAAGAGCTCCTCTCAGACCCCCGAGACACTGGACCAAGAAAACGAGCGGTTAGGGAGCATGCGGGTAGTTCTCTTTCTCAGGGTCCCTTTTAGTGTCCTTTTTATAGGGGTGCCGTACTATGTTGGGGACCTTTAGAAAGGCACCCTACTTTAGGGAACTACCCATGTGCCTGCAGGCGCCTGCAGGTTCTCCCAATCCCTGAATCTTTCACACTGCAACAGGAAACCTAAACTTAAGTCTCGACAGCTGAAACCCCCTAAAATCCCTCAAACCCACACACCCTGAACCCCCAACCTCTCCTAAAACGTAAGCCCTAAACCCTAAACCCAAAGCCCCAAACCCAAAAACCCTAAACCCTAAGCCCCAAACCCCCCTGAACCCCCAACCTATCCTAAAGCGTAAGCCCCAAACCCTAAACCCAAAGCCGCAAACCCAAAACCCTAAACCCTAAGCCCGAAACCCAACACCCAAAACCCTAAATCCAAAGCCCTAAGCCCTAAACCTTAGACCCGTAAATCCCTACACCCTGGCAGCCCGAAGCTGCAAGCCGAGAAACTTGCCTGACCCGGAGGCTCGGCTAGTATAGGGGCCCCAATAATTAGAATAAGCTTTGGGGTATGTTATGCTTTACTTATAATCAGGGCTTTAATAAGTAGAACAAGCTTTGGGGTATGTTATACTACACTTATAATAAGGAACAAAAAATGGCAATTATTAAGGCCCCGATACTATTTATATCATATATCAAGCATCGGTTTTCTAGACATGAGTCATATCCCACGAGAATTTCTACGACTCCAAATATCAGCAGCCCTGAAAGAAAGAAGCATCCATAAAGAACACAAGCCTCAACCCTGAAACCTACACAGACCATCCTCAAGACACCGAAAAAGTGAGAACCCAACAAACCTAAACCCTAAACGGTTTAGCCCCAAACGAAAACCCAAAATTTCACCTCAAAAGTGGCGGAGATCAGGAGTTTGGACAAGTGGTTTTATGGACTCTCAGGGTTCAGGGTTTAGGGGTGCAGACTGCTACATGCAAGTCGGGCTTTCAGATCTTGGCAGAATAGCCCGATGTTGGGAGTACCCATCGATTTTTGCCTCGGGGCCTGTGGGTTCCTCTGATGGCTTCGGTTCAAGCACAGTGTACGGCGGATCCTAAACCCTAAACCCTAAACTCCTAAAACCCCTAAACCATAAACCGCTAAACCCTAAACCCTCCACTGCGACTGTCTTAAAGGTTCGCTTCGCCGCCCTGGCGAATCCCTGTAAGGCTTAGGGCTGAGGCTTTCGGGGTTAGGGTTTAGTGCCTAGGCTTTCATTAGTTTTCAGAGTTTAGGGTTTAGGGCTTAGGATCGTAGCTCCCTGGACGCTTGGATCCGAGACGTAAGAGAAAAAATCAAGGTAACGTAACGAGATACTGCAGTTCAGGGTCTACGCAAGTAACGTGTTTTTTTATTAAGCTTCGGAGGCACGAGAATACACGAATTCAGGGCTCTGAACAGCGCAAGCTCCTGCATCATATCACGAAAAGCTGCGCAAAAGCCGACAATAAAATCCTAACACCCTCTTATGCCTGCCGCTTGCGATTGCTGAGCAACTGTAGAACCCCATACATTTCTGTGCACCACACTGTTTCTTGGGAAGCAAAACCCCTGAACCCTGACCCCTAAACCCTAAACCCTTCACCCCCAAACCGCTAAACCTTAAAACCGAAACCCTTGAACCCCTGAACCCAACTCTTTCAGGAGTTCGGCCCCAGGGCTCGCCCATTATGACCCGAGGCCACCGCAGAGACATCGACTGCGAGTTCTGCAAACTCAGATCGTCACCGCTTCCTAGCCGACAGGATGCCACATTGGGGGTTTCTCTGGGCAGGGCCATGATTGAACATGGGAGGTGCCCCGAAGCGCCTGGTTTGTTTTTGTTTTTTAGCGCTTTGCACTTTGGGGTTCAGTGTTTATTATAAGCCTCAGCTCAAACTCTGGCTGTTTAGGGTTTAAGGTTTAGGGGTTCGTCAGCTCAAACTCTGGCTGTTGAGGTACTTAGGAGCTTGGACTCACTGGCCCGAGAGCTAATTGACAGAACCCACTTGTCTAGGGAGGCTACTGAGCTCTGGGGTACCAACAGCTGTTTAACCTCTGCGACCTGGGTAATTTCGTCATGTTGTTGCCCACAACTGTTTAACATATGTGACCTGAGTAATCTTGTCATGTTGTTCCCTACAATTCCATGTCGCCTCAAGATTTCATCCTTTTCTGAAGCAAATCTCTAGAGCTGCGCCTGTCCCTCCTCGTAAACCCTAATGAGGGTTGAAGGGGTTGGGGGGATGGCTACCCACGGTCTAGGTCACTGGGCTCCGGGCTTTTGGGCAATACAGTAGAAGCCCGAAAGTTGGAAACCCAATAGCCTCAGGCCTTAAGAGTAATGTATAGGGAATCCCAGCACTAATTGTCCTTAATCCGGTTTCCAACTTTTTGGGGTTTACTGTAGGGCTTAGGGTTTAGGGTTTAGGGCCTAGGGTTTAGGGTTTCGGGGTCTCTGAAGAGGCTAAGCAGTTCGACTCGGGTTTGGGCTTCGAAGTACCAGTCCCAGGGCGGCCCTGAAAAGAGCAGTGGGGTATAATATAACGGTAGTCTTCCCCAAAAAGTGGTATAATCAACTGTCAAGCTTCTTAGTATAATGTAGGGGCCTTGGTAATTAGAATCGGGTTCTGGGGTATATTGTGCTATAGTTAGAACAAGGAACCCGCAAAATAGTGTGGCAATAATTTAGGCCCTTATATTAGCCGACATCTCTTTGACCCAGACCCTTTGAAGCCATAGAGAAGCGAAGTTTCAATCCCTGAAGTTGCAGGGCAGCAGCCCATGTACCTTAACCAATGTACACCAGAGAAAGAACCCTTTTTTGTCACGGGCCTCGTTGCAGCAGCCCGATCTAGCCAAACCCACCCTCCCCCTGACCTAAACCCGAAACCCTAAACTCTAAACCGTGAGTGCGCCTTCCAGGTTTTGCGATTGGGAAGCAGACTTTGAGCCCAGGCGATCGCTCCTCAAGACAAGTTACCACACTTCGGAGTGTAGGAAAAAAGTGGCTCTATCAAAATCTTCCTAGGATTCTCGAGTTTAAGGCTTTAGGGCTCCCGGCCTGAATGGTCGGGGTTGAAGAAGGTTAGTTTTAGGTTTTATCTTTAGGGCTTTTATATGCTGTAGGTTGAGTCCAGGGCAGGGCTTTATCGCTCATAAGGCCTTATGGAAGTGGAGGCTCAAGGTTGGCCTGAGGGCTCTAGGGCCTTCTAGGCCTTAGGATTTAATAGGCTGTAGGTTTACTGCAACATTCAGGGGTTTTAAGGTTGTAGGCCTTAGGAGTTACAGCCTGTAGGGTTTGACCGACTTCTAGAGCTTTTATTTACTGCCTTAGGGTTTCAGAGGTATCGGTTTAGGGCTTAGCAGCACAATCACTCTGAGCTCAAAGCCTGTGCACGCCCACACCCCACTCAATCGGCTGATTGCCAACGTCAGTCGGGATGGGAGCAAAATAAGAAATCAGTGATACTCACCTACGCACTTTACACATTCCTCGGAGTTCCTAATCACGAAGCTGCTTCAACGTTCACCAATCACCATCTCATCCTAGGGCTTAGGGTTTAGAGTTTCAGAGGTATCGGTTTAGGGTTTAGAGTTAAGGTTTAGGGTTTCAGAGGTATACAGGTTTAAGATTGTTGAGTACATGTTGCGTTGACGCCCCCGTTGTACGCGCTCTAGGTCAGCATACGGCTCACCCTCCTTGCAAGCCATCCAGGAAAAAAGTAGCCACCGCATTCTCCGTCGCGTGTTGAGGGTTTAGGATTCGTCAGGGGCGTCAGGATCTTCATGAACAAGGAGACCAAGATTACATTCAACTAAACGAAAATTGAAAACGACTGCACAGCCCAGCGACAAACGACTGCTGAGGCCCAGCCGTCAACCCCTACACCCTCAATTCGACACCCCCAAACCTGAAATTAGACGTGTATTGAAGACTTACCCTGCCCACATACCCCCCACAGAACTTCAACCCTCAAGCGAGGCCCTAAACCCTCAAACCATAAACCCAAAGTCCGAAATGACACTAAGCCAAGCCCCAAACCCTAAACCCAAAACCCAAACCCCAACTCCCAAATTCTAACCCTAAACCCCAAATCCCAAACCCTATAAACCCCAAACTCCAAACAAAGATGTCCAACAGCTATCGACCGAGGCCCCGGCCCGGACCCGCCGGTATCCTGCCGAACGGAATGTATGGGGTTTAGGGTTTAAGGTTTAGGGGTTCAGGGTTCAGGTTTAGGGGTTAGGGGTTTAGGGATTAGGGTTTAGGGGTTTAGGGTTTAGGGGTGTGGGATTTAGGGTTTAGGGTTCCAGGTTCCAAGACCAACATCGAGACTGTACGTGAGGCTCTTTTTAAGGGATCCATGAGGAGCTCGGCTAAGGAATCCAGAAGGGTTGGATATTTTCGGGGTTTAAGGCTTTCAGGGTTGTAGGGCTTCGGGCTTGAGGGTGTTAGGTGTCGGGAGCTTTAGATTTTGGGGCGTA